AAGCAGGAGGAGAGGGGCTGGGCTTGATATATGGGGACAGCTCTTGAAAACCCTCTGGCATTGTTTACCCGGATTCGATCCTTGATACCACAGCAGTAGGCTGGCGCCTTAATCGCTTCAGTCATCCGTTTGTCCATCATCATCCGTAATAACATATAATAACTAATAATCCGTAGAAAATATAATATAAAAAAGTGCCAAATATTGCAAAATTAGTATGGCTATATAATTATTTTATATTGTCTTAAAACATTTAGTTAATATCATTTGGCTGGTATTTTAGGATAGAATAGTTATCAAGTACTGTAATTACTTTTGAATAATTCTAATTATCTGTATATTGTCAAGCTTTAAAAATGTCATTTAAATCCGTTTTTCTAAGGATTTTGTTTGAGCTTAATTCTTTTTCGTTTTTTTCTAATATAAAAATTTATTTTTATAGATAAATTAACGCGGTAAAAAACGCGGAATAGAAAAATAAACGCTAAGAAAATAAATGATTAGAAAATCTTGAAAGACTTTCTAATAATTTATTTTCATAAGAGAGGATAAAAAAAATTATTATTAAAGAATCGATATAACGTTAAGATATATTTATTTTTTAGAATCCTGGTTTTATAATAATTTTAATACCTTATATTTCTTCTTAAATTTTGTAGATCGATAATTAGGTTAACGTTACGATGTTAATTTTTTATTATTCTAAATAAATTAGGTAATAAAATTAATTATACAACAATAAATAAATTAGTAAAATATTCAATATTCTTTTTAGAACATCCGAATGGTCAGACGACTAAGACGTCAGCCTACTTCTCCGGGATCGAATCCGGATAGCAGAAAACCTTCAGAAATTTTTAGAGATTGTCAATACTGGATATGTCGAGTCTCATCCTTCACAACTCGGCTGCCCCATTGTGTGCCTGTCCGAACTTACGATGGGTCTAAAGAAAGGCCCTTAGTGCTCACAGAATGGGAACTAAAGATATTCTTGTAAAAGCCTAATTTTGCATTGATAGTTCTAAAATACAAAAATTATATTAATATTTTATGTAATTTAAAAAATCATTTATAATGATGCAGCCAATTAGATAAAACTTACTAAACACATGTTCGCTCCTGTTCAACATCTAGCGTTTTTTCATGTTTTCTTCGTATCTAACACTTAAATGGAATCTAATTTCTTATAGTAATACCTAAATGGGGGCCAATAATCCGAGAGGATTTTCCACCAATATATCTCGTTGCCTTATCCCGTCAATCCAATAAAATAATTTACAATATTATAATTATATTCATAAATACTGTATAACATTAGGGTAATTGAAAATATTATTAATACGATAATATTACAATAATCCAACTGTAGAAATATAAGATTATTCATCAATTTTTTTATTTTTTACATATTGCGTTCTAATTATATTGTGTTTGTATCAATGAGATCCTTCAAATATAATTCCCTATGATTCATTGTAATTATCTCCAATTTGGTCGTGATTTGACGTAATTAGTTTGGTATCGAACCACGATATTCTAATTGAGATTATTAAGCAATTATATATTATAGCCATTCCTCTGAAGTTATAGTTGATTTATTATTAATTTTTGGCCTTTTAATTGATACGAATCATTTCTATTCGAGTATTTTTATTTTAAAAAATAGACAAATATATTTAATAAAAATAATTAAATGGTTAATATCTAATTATTTATAAATCTGCATATTACAAATCCTTAATGTCAAGATTATGTTTTACATTATTATTAATTCATAAATTCCTCCTTAAGATTTGATTTGGTTTGGTGGGACACAGCAACCAACACGTGGGTGATACGCCAAGTGGGGATACCACCCGGAAGGATTTTCCATGAGAAATTAGCCTCTATTTAGGTGTTAGATGTGTGAAGAAAACCGGAAAACTCTACGTGATCAGCCTGTTGGTGAAGTGCGAACCCTTGACCTATTCCAAAGTTCGGTGGTTTTATCTACTTGTCCACTGTTGAGCATATTTCTTCTAAGAATATAAAATGAGTAGGAAAAAAAGAGCCCACAGCGGATCTTTCTAATGAATGCACGATGATCTACAGCATTTCCATCCCAATCTTTACATAATAAAACTTCCCAATTTCTTCATTCTTAAGTGAGAATATTGCTTTAATTATAAAGTTCAACAAAAGTAGATCGATTTTGAATGTTGTATACTTAATATTTTTAATTCCTTCCATCCGTATGCACAAAGAGCGTCTTACAATCATATCTAACGTGAATTCGACCAGGCCGTGATCCGACATATCCGAACCAGATCACCCCTGAAAAATTTCTGGAGTTTCTTGACGGCCCGGATTCGATTCCGGATCCTTCAAAGTGATTACTTTATTTATTAATGTAGTTTTTTACTTAAAAAATCCATTTTATTTTGTATTTTTATAATTAATCTCGTTTTTTCTTTCTTAAATTAACTGCTTCAATAATTTTTTAAATTGATATTTTCTATTACACGTTTCTGGTTATATAGTAAATTTATATGCTAGTCTTAGATTAATGATTTTCTATTACGGGAATGTAACTTATTCAATTTTCATTTCAGTAAACCAGAATTGAAAAGAATCTTGATTTACGATTGGAATTTAAAATATATATATATACTTTGAAGTTTTGACTGGAAATAAAGCCTTTTATTCGTAAACTTACAGTTAAGTTTTCATTTTATAACCATTCAGAATATTGAATATTTTAAACAAGATCCTTATAAGTCAAATATCTTTCAATTGAATTGCAAGTTTACGATTAAAAAAATGCAATATCTACTCTCAAATCCCATATAGGAAACAAACGAGAGTGAAAAGAATTTTTTGAGTAAATCGATAAAAAAAATTTAAATAATAATGTATATTTGTTTAACACGGTTAATCTTATGGTAAAACTTAACTTGGCTCACTAAGGCCGACTAGATAAAACTACCGAGCAGTACTCACGGGTTCGCATCTTGGCCAATTGGAGTTTCGGTGTTTTTCACGTGAGTAAGGGGCTAATTTCTTGTAGAAAACCCTTCTTAAAAGCATTTCCTTCAGCAGATCGCTTTTGTTGAATTGTCTTAGCCTAGCAATCTAATTTAACATTAATTTCAAATTAAAGATACTAAACTATCAAATTTTAAAAATGAAAAAGAATGCACGAAAATTAAATTTTTATGAAAAAATTTTATAAAATGAATTATAGAAAAAATAATGAATTAAATAAATGAAGATATAAAATAAAGTATGAACAAAAAATATATTTAATTAAAAGTTAATATAAATCCTTATTGAGAAAAAAACATTAAATAATTTTTAAAGTACAATTATCGCAATAAAAGCTTGCGTGATCATATTCAAAACTTAATTTATAGAAAAAGATTTAAGATTGTTTCATTAAGAAAAATTCTTTTTAAGATTTTACGGTTTCAATATATAAGAGTGGAGTGATGAGATGGGCGATAACATAGCACATGGGCGATCTTCCAGGAGATGCCTACTCAAAGGATTTTCTACGGGAAGCTGATCCCTATTTAGGCGTCAGACACGTAAAAAACCTGGAAAATGTCCAGTTGGTGAGGCGTGAACCCGCGACCAATCTTCAATGGTTTTATACTTCTGTCATTCGATATAATATTGATATATTGAACAACAGTTTTAGTTATATAATAACACAACTTAATGAGATACAACAGTACGTTTATTTAGATTCTGCAGGTAAAAGTATCACTAGTTTATCTTCAATAATGATAAACTACAAATAATAGTGAAGTATTGTTCATGAATTTGCTTGTTTTCTCCTAATATATATTTATATCGCATTTATTATCTGTGTTAACTACAATACTTAAAATATTACGAATTTTATTGATAAATACATTTATATAGACATGAAAATGGACTAACGTGCAAGAGATACTTTCTATATTTTATTAAAGAAAATTAAAGAATACAGTTAACTAAGTTCAGAAACAAATAATCAAGATATGATATTCTTCCTTCCTTAGAAATCCAGATTTGAATTCAATTCGGTCATTTTTTCATATATTATTCTAGCTATCCTCCATAATAGATGACTATAATAGGCTTGTTGAACACTAATATGCCTTGTTACAATGTAAAATCTGCAATAAGTGAGAAGAATATCCGCAAACTCTTAAAAAAAACATTACACAAATTAAAGAAAGCATTCGACAATAACTTAGATCGAAGGGGAATGGGAAGGATAACAATTTTAATCAGATCTATAAACAATCTAAAAATCGACAAGCCTTATATTCTAAGAAAAAAGAGAAAGGTAAGAAGATACTTAAGTAAAGCATTAAGATGTAAAAGTCATAAAAAATAGCTATGAAATGAAGTGAATAGAAACTTAAGAGTAATGATTCGTAAAGTGCTGGAAAATAACCAATCAGAAAAAAAAAGAAAAAATTTTGAATATTGAAGACATTGAGAACTATAACAGTTTTAATTAACATATTGAAGGTGACACTGGAAAAATAGAAATATAAATATTTACTTTAAATGAAGAAAAGAATATTAATGACAGCCCAAAGAAGTTTCGATAAGAGATATTAACAAATAGTTTTTATTCATACGTAAATTAAAAATATCGTATAAATTTTAAAATACGATTCGGTAGAAAACCTGGTCTCGTCTACTTCAAAAGATACTTTACAAAAATATTTGTTTTTTGAATTGAACCTTCAAGACATATTGAAATACTTCTCTATCAAGTTAATGTCTTTCGTTTACTAACATTAAATTCTATGGGAAATAAAGATAGGCCTTCATCGACGTGACAATAGCCTATTCATCCATTCCTTTATAGTACAAAGAGTTAAAAAGGAAATAAAAATTTGATAATAAACATCAAACATCAATAGAAATAAAAGTATTAAAACATTTCAATGTATAATTGTCAATACAATATTATAATACGAGTAAATAATCAGAAAAAAAATAATGCATATTATACTTACTTTATTTTAAAAAGGCGTTAGAAAACACAACGAAAGGAAGGATTTACGGGAATCTGCCTCTATTTAAGTGCTAGACACGTGAAGAAATAGAGAAAATTCTACATGGTGAGGTGCGAACCCGCGACCAACTATCAGTGTTAAATGATTTTATCTTCTAGGCTCTCTGAAAATGACAAATGGTTACTTTAATCATTTATTAAAAATTATTTTAAGAGATTTATAATCGACTCATTGATTTATTTATCAATATAAAATAAGAGTGAGAGAAGTATATACTGACGCATTATTGTAGCCATAAGTTATAAATTGAGCCATTTGAAATGGATGAAAGTAAACAAGAACTATTTGAATTAAAGAAAAGAAAAACAATATTTCCAAACTATAGTTTAAAAGTTAAAATCGCCTGAAACATTTTAACAATAATTAAAGTTAAACACGAAGAGAACATTGTTAAATTCACGATTAAAACAAAGGAAATTTGAAGATTCGTCTGAATTTCAAACGGATACAATTTACTGCATTCTGAACTTGAATCTAATCCTTAAGGCGATTGAAAAAGCACTCACAACAAGAAACCAAATATAATCACTCGTATTCGGCATTAGAATTTTTTATTTCACTGATCTGGATATTTTGACTTTGTTATTTTTTTATACGAATTTTAGTAAAATATAATTTCTTTAAAAAATCGAAAAAGAGTAGAAAAGTATGTCTACAAATAATTAAAATGTAAATAAACGCACGTATTTATTTACATTTTAATTATTTAAATATTCAAAATAAACAATAAATAATTAAAAATTAATTTTATAGGTAAACATTTGTGAATACAAAATATTTGTTTATTTACTTTGTTATAGAATCGAAAGAAATAGCAAATTAAAGTAAATAAATTAAATATATTAGTCTAAAATGTCAAGACTTTAAAGCAATAATTTACAGTGAAATTACTTTTAATATTGGATTTAATTCAATTTCCATTTTTTCATCTTGTGAAAGAAAAATTCTTTTATTTAAAATATAAATTTCAGCGTTATTTCTATATGTCGAATGATAAATTATTATTAAAAATTTATTCTTTTGAATATTATAGCTGAATATTATCATTTTTATTGAGAAATCTATATATTTTGCGTTAAATTAAGTTTAAAATGATTGTCTATAAATTTTTATCGACAAGCAATCAAATTAAATGAAAGTGATTTACTCCATAAATTGGTCATAATATAGTTAATCTAACGCTTCCTGATAAACTTAGTAACTACTATTAGAATATTGTAAAATATTTTTATTTAAAATTCAACGGAGTAATCAAACGTTTGATTTTATTCAAAAAAGATTTATGGAAATTTATACAAGTTGCCTGCTCCTACACTCTGATTAGGTAACGTCTCTTGAATACTCTGAGGATTTTTTTTCTGTTTTTCTCAAGTTTTTTTTATATCTTTCCTTTAACTGCAAGTTGTGTATCCAATCTTTCCGGAAAAGTGGAAATTGGAATTATTTCGAAAAAAAAAATTGTTGCAATTAATCATTAATGCATAAACAACGATTGAAAAAACTCGGGATCATATTATTATTAATTAAAGATTGAATTACAAATTTATTGCTTCAATTTATTTAACTCATATTCATCGATGTTTTAAAATAATTCATGACATTCAATAGATTAAAATATTAAAATAAATAATATTACTTTCCTAATGATTTTTGAATGTTTAGAATATTGTTTTAAAGTAGATATTCTAAAGGTTCTAAAGTTATATACAGCGAAACTTGTCAACAGTGGCCATTTTTCTTTTTGAAGACGTATTAAACCTCCGTAAAAAGCAATAAATCAACTTCAGTATTATTTATTTAAAAAGAGAAAAATATGTTAAGAGTAAGCGCATTCAGATTACAAATCGAATTAATTCCAAATGATTATTTTAAAAGTCTGGACAATTATATTTTCCAGTTAGCAGCTTCTTAACAATTAAAATGTCCGTTTAATCAATAATATTATTTAATGGAATACTTATTTTTTAAAATAAGTTTGAAACAAGCACGGCTTTCTAACCTCATCCTTTATGTCACGTCTTACAGATAGATGCATGCAAACAAATGTCCGTTCGAACCTTACGCTTCACTATGCTTAATCTTTCATTAACAAACTAATTTGTTAATTTCTACTACAATTGTTTTAATGAAATATTTCATAGAATTGATTATTTGAAAATTGAATCCATTGTATAAACATTTAAAAAAAAGCTGGCAAGGAGGGAAGCTCTTGTTCGATTTTCCATGCACTCGAACAGGAGGTTAACGACACCAGAATTTCAATTATACTACGATATAACAACTAAATAACAAAAAGTTAAAATTGTTAAAATTTGAGAAATTTCTCTATTTAAAAAATTTCTCTATGAAGAACACTTAGACACTAGNACTATGCTTAATCTTTCATTAACAAACTAATTTGTTAATTTCTACTACAATTGTTTTAATGAAATATTTCATAGAATTGATTATTTGAAAATTGAATCCATTGTATAAACATTTAAAAAAAAGCTGGCAAGGAGGGAAGCTCTTGTTCGATTTTCCATGCACTCGAACAGGAGGTTAACGACACCAGAATTTCAATTATACTACGATATAACAACTAAATAACAAAAAGTTAAAATTGTTAAAATTTGAGAAATTTCTCTATTTATAAAATAATTAATTAACTTTATAAAACACTGATAGACACTAGCTCAAAGTGAAAATTGTGTGTGGTGCCATCTGTTGCAAGATTTTATTATGAAAATCATTTTTATATTATTAATTATAGCAAAAAGGCAAAAGACTTAATTTTTAATTTAGGGAAGAGTTTTTTTTTTTAAAAAAAGTATAAATGCCAATAACGAGTAAAGTTTTGCACATATGTATCCTCTATTTCCCAACTTTCATGACCTTTAATTACCAAAATTTAATAGCATAAATTCCCTATAAGTTATATAGAAATAATACTGCTAAATTTAAAAATTTTTGGTTCATCCAGTCCTGAGATATAATGCGAAATACACACCGACACACACACAAATAGAATTTTGTAAGGAGTAAGCTTTTTACATTTTTTTTATCCTGGAGCGTCAAAACATCGATAAATGCAAAAAGAAAAACAATGCAAAAAAGAAAACGTTCAAAATTTGACCGATCACCATAATTTTCATACTTTATATTCCATAACAGCCGATAAAAGAAATGAATTGATAATCGTAAATTATTAATTTATTAATTGTAATTTAAATTGAAATTGTCGTTTATTATTAAAATACGCTTTCAAGCATGAAAATTATATTCATAATATTCGAATCGGAAATTTAAACAGTAGATTGGTAATAGAAGTTGAAGGTTGGACAGAGGTGGAGTGTTTAAAGCAAGTTGCCCCGAAATGCCACCCACTTTGGAAAGCTCGACTATTTGACAATCTTATTGACAAAAGGACAAAAGACAGCAAACGTTTTTTTCCCTCCTCCCTGTTCATCTCCTGTAAGAATGTGCTCAGATTGGAACTTTTATTCGAGATTTTCCGTTAACTTACTGTTTTCGATTTCTGAACTTTAATATAAAAAAAAAAAAAAAACACTTGAAAACGTCAGAAATTTCAAACTTAATTCTTTGTAAGCATAACTAGAAATCATTACTTGAAGTTACCAGCAATCAATATATCAGTATAAACCAGCGTTTTAGAAAATTTTTGGTTGATATCTTGAAAAATTGCATTCCAGACAAACATCTTATCTCATTTAAATTGAATGGAGTCTTTTCATTGCTAGCTGAGGGGATATAAAGGAGTTGATGGATAAACAGTATGGGATTTGAAAGCCTTCTTGTAATAATCGAGAAGAAAAATCATTCATCTCAAATATCCAGTAAAAACTTTCAAGAAAGATTATTATAATTACAATGGTTTTGATGATGCGTAGCCATATTGTTTACTAGGAGATAACTACTTATCGCTTCCTGCTTGTATAGATTCCATTCATTGTAAACAGTTTAAGTTATTAATTATAAAACCGATCATTTGTCAAACGGATGTCAAACCAGTTGAATAAATCATCAATCAGAATTGGTACTAATCACAAGGACGTAAAGGTGTGGGTGTAGTTAGACCAACTACTTGTATGGTAGTAGATGGCCTTACCGGGGATCTGCAGATTATTGAGTACACCTGGAAAAGAGGGCAATATTAATTAAAGAGCTTAATGTACGTATAAAATGGTACAAAATATTCAAAATGTATTACTTGTGTTTCTTAAATTAACATATAAGCAGAATTTCGTCAATGGATAGAGATAGCTCATAAATTTCTAGGGATAAATCACTAGCTACGAGCCTGAGTAAAGGTAGAATCTATACTTATGTAGGTTTTTAATGTAATTCTTCATAACAATCGCCTAATTTTGAAATTAGATAAGAGAAAAAAAATACAATTTAATTTTCTAAATAATTTATTGAAAAATTATATTTTTCAAAGTTTTTCGATTAGCTTTTCGTTGTTGATCGAAAGTGAAGTCTTGCGAAACAAAATCGATCAAATTGTAAACCTGATGGTAACTATTGTTCTTACAAGTTTTCAACTTCTTAAAACTCTCGGAACTAATTACAAAAGATATCTGAAAATCAATGAAAATGGCTTTAATATCCTGTTAATTTTAATCTTCCAAAGATGAACAAACACAAGTACACGTTAAAAATTAAACTTTTTCTTACAATGAATTCATTGAATTGTCACATATTTATGTCATTTATTTAATTGTTTAATGTGTTTATATTTAATAATTCATTAGAAATATATAAAATGATCACAAATATCAGTCAAGTTTGTTTCGTCCGATGGTTCTTTTCAGTTTTTAATACTTGTAGACATAATTCGCCCATGTAGGGATCACCATTTATTTGTTTTCTGCGTTTAAGACAATACATTTTCGGCGACCGACCTTNATGATTAGAAAATCTTGAAAGACTTTCTAATAATTTATTTTCATAAGAGAGGATAAAAAAAATTATTATTAAAGAATCGATATAACGTTAAGATATATTTATTTTTTAGAATCCTGGTTTTATAATAATTTTAATACCTTATATTTCTTCTTAAATTTTGTAGATCGATAATTAGGTTAACGTTACGATGTTAAT